GCAGTGTGCGGAGACAGGACAAGGGGAAATGGCCAGAAGCTGGAGCATAGGAAGTTCCGCACCAATGTGCCCAAGAACTTCTTTACGGTGAGGCGACGGAGCACTGGAACAGGCTGCCCAGGGAGGTGGTGGAGTCTCCTTCTCTGGAGATATTCAAGACCCGCGTGGATGCCTACCTGTGTGACCTGGTGTAGGGAGCCTGCCTTGGCAGGGGGGTTGGACTCAATGATCTCTGGAGGTCCCTTCCAACCCCTACGATTCTGTGATTCTGTGAGATCTCTGTCTGGATCATAAAACAGTATTTATAGTTTTTATAAACCAGAAGTGACTGCAGAAGGTAAGCATTTTTTGGCTGGCCATGAACAACGTAACATCACATAACATTTCTTCAGTAAACAGAAAATATATTGATCTGCTTCTTCACCCGGCACATGCAAACCCTGGGCTAGGACCTTTGTTCAGTAAATAATCAGAATTACCAGTCATTTTTTACTGGCTAGATCCTTTTCAGCTTTGTTTTTTGAAGATCCTGGGGACAAGCAACCACCGGTCTCTCCAACAGTTTTCTCCCTTCCTGCGAAGGTCAGAATGCCCTTGGTACCAACTGGATTGACACAGGAGGCTTCACAGCACTCAGCATCTATTTCTCCTTCCCACATTTGTCTACGTCCTTCCTTGTTCTCCCATAACTCTATCACCTGGGATGGTTTTGACAATTCTTTCCTACATGCTCAATCTGATTTAGTTTCCGTATATTTCCCCAGGGACTTGAATTGCTGTTCATGCCCCATTTAGTTTCCTTTTAGAGAGAACACCTCTCGGTGTAAATGTAGTGTCCTTAGCCCCAGGAACATGAAGGGGAGTGTGGAGCAATTTCAAGGCTGCTCAATTTCTTTGACTCTTACTTTACTCACTTTCCTACTGTTCTTCAAGGAGGAGCTCTCTCTAGGCCTATAGAATTTAGTCAGTGCACCAATTTGATTTCTCATTTCATGCATTCTTTGCATTGTCTGCATGAAAACATAGCCTAATCACAGCTTTCATCCCCTTGCTCTCAGCAACAAGTTGTCACACACTTCAACCTCCAATCACTCTTTGGAAAAAAAGGAGAAGTCTTATAATAAGTACCAAACCAGTAATGCTGGAGCATTCTCAAGTATGGCCAGTTCCTCACTGCTCCTGGTTGCTCTGCCAACAGCACCAGCCAGGGGGTGAACCAGTTGGATTGCAGCACTTCAGAAAAGTACTTGCTTCTCTAGAAGACAGCCTTTAGAAATGTAAACGTGTGTAGGAGGATCTATGCTTTAGGCTGGCTCCTCAGAACAGAACAACTTTTAATTAATTTTCTTAAATGCTGCCACAGGCTCCTCTTAAATTGATGAGAAGTGCATTTCACTTTTCTTTACAGAAAGGCATTGTAGATTATACTTAATCTGATTAGGCAGAAAAAAAGAAGAAAGCCAGCTGTGTTCTGAGGGCTTTAAATATCTTCTTTTAAACAGAGAACACTGTTTATATCAATCCATATTAGTAAGAGGTAAAGCATAGCTAAACAATCATTTTAAAATATCACATAACTATTTTATTATTGAAGCCTCCTTGTTACGAAGGCATCTTACAGTAAAAAAAGAAAATCTGAGCGAAAATTGTAATTCACTGACTCTGAAAGTGTTAAAGAATTAAAGCAGTAGAGATTTAAGATTATCTACCAGGGAAATGAGCCTTGAGACCTGTATCACAATGTATTTGGTTACAATTTCATTTCTGAGGGAAATTATATTAAAAAAAAAAAAAATCACATAAATCTTTTCAAATAAGGAAAGAGATACTGAGGAATCAGGATGAGATTATATCTCCTGGCCATTACTTCCATCCAGAGGACTTTATTTTGCAAAGCAGCTGAATAACCTTACCCACATGAGCAATGAAAAGCCAATTCATCACTTTAAAACAATGGTCCCAGTTGACTTAATTGAGCCCTGAAAAAGGCCCCTGAGACTAGACTGTGTCAGTGAAGGCTGCCCTGCTTATGACAAAGCAAGGAACAGAAACCCAGACTCTGTTCCTTTTTCATTGTTACTTTACTACATGTTTGTTAGTTAATGGATGAAAGCAGAACCATGAAGACTGTTGTTAATGGGAGAGGGGAGACTGTAAGCTTGTCTTTAGTTTGGATATTTGTCCCACACAAACACAAAACCAAATCTGACATTTATCTAATTACTCTGACACAATGTCCTCAATGAGGTAAAGATGAGAAGCATGAGGGGATGCTGAAGAGAAGGTTAAAAATGATGTACAGCTACACTAACCATTGAGGCTTAAGAAGAGTGAGACGATATGGCCAAGCTATATGTATCGTAGCAAGATACAATGGACTGACAGTAAAAAAGAGGTAAAATTTAATTTGTGATAGGTAACATGACTAGAAGTAGAATTGTGTAGAATAGGTCTGTTGGAAAGGATCTTTAAAAGTCACTTAGTCCAACTGCCTGATCAGTAATCAGTAAGGAAATGCAGTAATTTTACAAATGATTCACAGGCATCCAAAAGAAGACAAGGAACTTACTGATGTGTTATGCCAAGGAGAATGCTTCGCTTTTCAAACTGACTGGACAGTGGTGTTCAAGGCATTTGTTCAGCTCTCTTACTTGTTTCATCCTGGTGGCCTCCATCATCTGATATTCAGAAGACAAAGAAAAGGTTGTATTTTGTTGCTGTATTTTTTTTCTTTCCTACTACCATCTGAGCTACGAGACCTACAGCAATGAGGTATCCAGTGCCAGATGGGATAACTGCTGCTGCAAAGAGCAGACAATCTGAACCCATTTCAACACTCTCACCCCCATACCCAAGCTTCATAGTCAATTTAAGCCAAGACAAAGCAGCCATGCTCAGCACAGTTGACAAGTTCACACCAATCAGGCGATCAGATCATCTTACAAAGGATAATACCCATAGTTCATAAGATGTCCTTTTATCATATGCTTTATCACTTTTCCCAAAAGTCAATAGGAAATGAATATAACAAGCATCAGCAACAATAGCCTACCTTCCTGGGAAGGCATGCCACCTGTTTAGCATTAAGCAGCCCAGGATACAAGTAATTTAACTTGGCCCTGATGAGCTCTTCTGATAAAAACCTACAGAACCAACTTCTCCTTAAAGACAACACCAATTATATTGCCCCAGAAGCAATCCACCTTCTAAAAGCAGGTCCAACTTCCAATTTCAGTGATGGAGATAATCAACTAGATGAACACAGGAGCATGGTGGATTCACCACCAGTTCTGTATCAGAACTGGATGACTTTCCCAGATGTCTATTGTAGCTCACATGGAAGTCAGGAGCAAACAGTAGATATTAAATGGCATTTTTCAAATTGTGTTATACATGACATTCAAACAACTGCAGTGACTTCTTCTAAATTAACTTCTAATAAAATTTGAAATAAGCAGTCCAGATTTAGAGGCTTCATCATGGAACAAACATTAAAGAAGGAAGTGATGCTGTTAGACAACAGATTTCTGCTGAAAACACTAGTGCATGTTTTAAGATCAAGATGTAAAATAGGTTTGTAAATATCATACTATCACTCATGATTCAAAAATCAGCCAGCAGGACGAGAACCAAAACAACAAATGTATGAGCTGTAATCATATCACTAGGCATCCTTTATGTCTCTAATAAAATACTGGAGTTTAGTTCCCGCTGAGAGTAGGAAAAAGCTGATAGTACTCTGATGTTGCACAGCAAACCAGAGAAACCTTGTCTGCAGATAAAAGAAACATAAACTCTAATGAAGACATGCTCAAAAAAAAAAAAAAAAAAAAAAAAAGCTCAGCCTAATAGCCTAAAGGCATCTTAACTAAAATGTCTGAGAATGAAAACTGATCTGTTTAATTAATGCTGAGCTCTAATCGTTAACAGTAATTACATAACAAAAACTATCTCAAGACAGGGATTCATGCACTAGGAAATTAAATACAGTAGACAAAACAGTAATTAAAGAGCTGAACATTTTTGCTTATGAAACAGCATCTCGTACATTTACACTTGCATAAACGCCGCATTGTGTCTTTCAGCTGTGGCACAGAAGAAACATCTGAGCTGCTGATCTACCTGACATTGCACTTCCAACATCATCTGCTATGTTTTGCTTCTATCCATATGAAGAAGCCACAAGCTGCTGCTTGCCATGCTTTCCTTCCTTGACATCACTGGTTCAAGAGTCAGGTGACCATTGACCACGGAGCCAGTACTTTGAGAGCAGCATAAGCCATAGCCAAAGAAATTAGGAGGCATCAAATGAAGTTAGAAATTAACGAGCTTAGAATAAATGGAGACATACTTCAAATACAGCAGAAGGCTATAGATCTGCAATTGACACAGACACCAAATACACCTGGATAAAATGACTGTGTATCAACCTCATGGATGCAAAATGAAACATTTTACCTTGGAAATCAGAGCTGTAAATGGCAGAAAACAGCCTGGAGACTCAGGAAAGCCTGAATGACTGCCTTGCTACTGAGGCCTAGCCCTTCTCTGTGGCTACTGCTGGCACACAAGTCATAGAGCCCTTTCAAGACCTCCATCTTACTTGGAAATTTTGAGAGCGGGTCAGCCTTTTTCTAATTTCCCCTCCAATTCCTTTTTGTCACAACACATTAGAGTTTGCTACAATGCTTTCAAAAGGTTGGAGTAACAGGGTTACTTGGTAAAATTATGTTTGCCATTGTGGCCATTTGCCTCCACAGCAACACATTGCCACCTTGAGGCCTGCGCTTTCTGCTAGGGCAGACCCCAGAGATGCTCTTCCCACTGAAAATGTGTCCACTGCCTCAACAGCTGCAATAAACTCTGCGTACCAGGTAGGGCTGGAACCACTCCCTGCCTGCAGCTGCAACGATCACATCTCTCCCTTGCACCATAACGGATTATGCATGACTATTGAGCTCCTGCAATCTTGGCTCCCTGAGCTATTTTTAAAAGAGCACAGCAAACCCCACTGGTACAGCAATCTCCACTTCCAAATACCTGCAGTGTTCCTGGCTCTCCCCTTTGCTCCCAGCATTCAGTTGCCATTCTTTCTCCTTTAACTAGAAAGACAAAGCCATCCAAAAGCAAGCAAAGCCAGATGGATCATTTCCTTGCCTGCCTCGTATTTCTGCAGCGTGTAAGGCTGGCATTCCTGCTGCCTGGTGATCCCTCAGCATCAGTGCCTCCGAGAGATACAATATTTGATGTTATCAAGAACCTGCTGAGCCGCTGTGGCTGATGCCCTCCCCACGAAGCAGTGCTTCCACCAACCTAACACATCACCCAGGGTTAGCTTGCTCCTTCCTTTCTGCTCCCAGATGCTTGCTCAGTTGAGGTCATTTGGCCACAAATAACTCAGTCTGCCATGCAAAAAAAAAAAGGAGATGAATCCTTCCTCTGCCTCTGGTTATGTTTCCCCCCTACACCCTTTCCACAAAAAATCAGAGCAGAATTTGGTACAGTCCATCCTCTCCCTTCTGCCTCCTGCTCCCCGCTCACAAAAGCTTTCCTTTGTCAGATTTGTTGGCCTGTGACTGACAAGCAATTACAATAAGTAATTTCATTTCAGTGGAAGATAATAAAACGTGATACCGTAACTACCCACAGAGCCTCCAAAGTATTCATGTTCACTCTAATAACCTGGTGAGATGCTGTTAATCTTGACAGAGGCTGCCCAGCAGGTGCTAGGGAGCTGAATCTTCATATTCCTTCACTGTTTGCTGATCCTTCCACAGGGAGAGCTCCAAGCTGTTAAAATGCAATGGCCCTGCTCTATTTTTTAATTACATTTAGTTTATTAGAGGCACAATCAGATGCATAACTAATCTTGGAGCCTGCCCTGCCTTGCCGAGGAGGGAGCGGGAGGTCTGACTCACGCAGGCTGTGCCTCAGCTGCATGCAGCCACTGTCCTCTGGGAGACAGAGAGATGGGAAAAGGGAATGTGCAGGGCAGGAAGAACTTGGTTGTTTTCCAAAGCACATGATTCGTACTGACACTTCCCTCCTCTGCCCGGGAACCCCTTCGATGCAAGCTGCTTTTGTTTTCCAATATTCCTGCAAAAGCTAAGTAAAGATTGAGGCTGATTTGTCATTTACATTCAGTCCACTTGTCCCCTCAGGAGAAGAGTGCCAATTGGCTGTGTATGGGAGAGAGGATGGATGCATTTGGTACTGAAGAAATACAGGCATTCCCCTTAGGAATTCTGCATTTACCAACACTGCAGAAGCAATATTGCCTTTCCCTGAGATGCCTCCTGTGGATACACATCAGTGAGGGAGGAAAGGTAGGAAAAAAGGAGGAGACAGGCAGCAACTCCCTAGAAACGGAGACCACTTCTGTGCTTCTCAACAGGGAAATTACTTCCATTTCCCCACGGAAGCATGGGGAGAATTAACCTATTTTGCTCAAGCATCACGGATGGCTGTTTTGCACAGCAAACCCTAGGTCCTCCCTTTGAGAAAGCAGCACTTGCATCAGGAGCACCTTGGTGCCCTAACATTAAAACAGTGATGTGAACACTGATGTTTATTTCTAACTGAAAGCCTGGTTACTACTCAGGACATGCATCACCTTGGTACACAGGCCATGGCCTCTACTCCTGAGCAAGCAGAATCCTGCTCTGCTGCCAGAACAAAGGCAAAACCACCCTGCTTAGCATCCTGCAGCACTGCAAAGGATGACTAAATGCTCATGACCTGATGAGGCCAACAAGGAGCTCACAGAAAACGATGGTCTGAGCAGTGACCTTCACAGAGACCAACCTGGTCTCCCCGAGCCACACGTGGTGCAGAGGGCAACAGAGAGGTTTCTACAGCAGAGATTATGGGTTGGAGTTTTTTGACAACCTTGTTTTCTGTAACCAAAAGTACATCATAATGGAGGTGAGATGGCAGAAATCTCTTTGGAGATGAGTATTTTGAGGACTAAAATGTAATTATGCTCCTTTTAAAGACAGGCAGTCAGAAGACTTGCTCACAGCCAAGGGCAAAAGGTCTAAAAGGCTGCTACTAAAACTTCCAAGTCTGACTGCAAAGCAAGAATCTAAGCTACAAAAGGACCAGCATGTTCCTCATTAAAATCCACCTGACTGTTGTTCAACAGTGTCTTATTCTTGTTATTAAATTGTTTTCCAAGCTCTTGAGAAGTAACTGAAATGCTTGAGAAGCAACTGAACTCTGAAGGAAGTGATGATGACTGCGATATGACCGTCTTCATTCTTCCAAAGATACCGTGAAGATCTGTATGCAAGAGCAGGTGGGTTCCAGGACAAAACCACCAATATTAGCTCTTTAGAAAGCAAGCTATATATAACCCATGTCTTACTCCTTCACAAAGATGTGGGAGTGGTGTAAGCATTGTTTCAGTCTACTGTTTTTCAACCAACAGATCCCCAGATCCTGCTGAATTTAGGGGAAACACAGTATTCCTGGTGGAGAACACTCCTATGCAGCACACTGCGTATACCTCTCTGAGAGCTAATTCCTGTGCTCCCCTGTCATTTCTTTACAATCAGATGAAGTTTTGAAGGGAGGCATAATAGTTACTTTGAAGATAGTCAAGCTGTAGCTTTCTCCAAACACAGTTCAAAGAAAAAGCCATAGGATGTTGCTGGTATTGTCTGGAAATCCTACATCC